AGAGGCTGCCACGTGGAGGCCTAGGAGTAATCGACGGTTGCTGGACGGACTTTTATTAAGGACGCGTACGAAAGAAACTTTCGGGCGTTAGATTATGAGCAATTAATGAGTGATGGGAATTGGATTATTAGCTTATTTAATTTAGAGCGGGAAGCAGTCTCGACTAATAAGTTCAGTAATTACTGTTCTCTTCTACGATCGTTGATGAGGCCGTTAGAGCATCTCCAACAGCTTTCTCATTTCTCACTTTTAGAGAATATAGTTAGGTTTTTGGTCCAACAGATTCCCCATCTCATTCCCCAAAATAGGGATGGAGGAGAAAAAATAGGGAAGCTTCCCCAAATCTGCAGCATTCTCCAAATTTTTGGAGGAAAAAAGAGATTCTTCAAAATAGGGAAGCTGTTGGAGTTGGTGTAAAAATAATTTGGAGAATATGACTTTTGCTTCCCTATTTTGGAGAAAAGGAGTTGGTGTAAAAATAATTTGGAGAATATGACTTTTGCTTCCCTATTTTGGAGAAAATTTTAGAGAAACTGTTGGAGATGCTCTTAGTAGCTTTCTTTGTACTATATTTTGAAATTTTTTATTTATTTATTTTGCAACTCCAATTCTTTAGAAAAACTTGATGGGTTGAATCCCTTTAGATTGGACTTAGAGATCTTGCTTGGGTCCCTCGAGGGTCATCTTAGGCTCCACCAACGCCCCCTCGGATACATAATTTGCAGCCTCTTGACGAAGAAGACCGAGTAATATGAGAGACAGGCTAGGATTTTAGAATGTGTTCATCATTTTGGCCGGATGATATCAGGCGATCTGGGATCCCACTAGAGTACAAGATGACATATTTACAAGGATTTATCTAGGCAGATTGGGTGCGACAGGTGGCAGCATCTCGTTGGGCGAGGTAGTTATGTCGGTTGCTTTTGACTACGAGTAAGTCCATGTGCCCTCACCTCATTGGTTAATGAAGGTTCTGATGGATGATGTAGTTATAGTAGCTATCAATCATATAGATTGGTTATTAATTAGTTTCTCTTATAGCAGCACAGTTGGTCACTCTAGAGCATCGAGAAGGTGAATTGCGAGTATGCTACAACCAATTATGAAAAGACGTTCATATATCATCCAAACTAACATTAGAAAGGAATTGCATTCTCAATATGGTTTAAAAGTTAAATATTATAAAGCTTGGCATGCTAAGGAGATAACAAAAAACCAAATATTTGATTGCGCAAGGCATTCATATGGGTTACTATCTTGGTTAGTCCATTAATTTGTTAATCTTAAATGTGATTCATTAACCTTAAATGTGACATTTCAAAACGCTATGTGATGTATTAGTATATTATGTGATATTTAGACATCATATGTGGCATTTAAGTCGTAAATGTGAGGTTTCGACCTTAAATGTGTGAGGTTTCGACCTTAAATGTGACATTTCGATCTCATATGTGACATTTGGGTCTTAAATATGACACCTAGACCTTATATACGATATTCATGTCTTATATGTGACAGTTAGAACTTATTCATCATTTAACAAGTGATTTGTCGTTTTAATCATCATTTAAAGGTAATAAAGGTGATGGAAACAAACCCAGACAGTGTCGTTATCATTGAACAAGAAGAAAGGCGATTCAAGCTTTTATTTATGTCCTATAGTGCATGAATGCAGTGGTTTCTCAAGGGATGTAGGTCATTACTCTTTCTAGATGGGACCTTTCTGAAAGATTGTTACAAATGGATCTTATTAGGTGTGACTGCTTATAATGATAATCAATGCATATTTCCACTCATATTTTGCATTTATGATCAAGAAAATAAAGCGAATTGGAGTTAGTTTATTAAAGGGTTGCGATATATTTTGTACAATCGAACAGAACCATATAATCCACCCCATCCTCTAGTCATTTAGTCAGATGCTGATAAAAGGATAAAATAATTTTTGAAAGATATATTTCCAGAGGATTTTGAAAATATTGTAGCGAGATCTTAAGAGGAAGAGGGTGATGAGAAAATTGTTGCAGAGGATTTCGAAAATCGTGCTCATAAGGGGTTTTCGGAGCGGTTTTCTTTTAGTTTTTAAATGGAAAGGGTATTTTCGGAAGAGTCTTATTGGATAGTGGGCTTGTACAATTTTGGGGGGATAGTTGCACTAAAGTTTTCGTATAATGGTTGGGTAGCATGGGTTTTTAGGTTGGGGAGGAGGATGCATAGCATAACTTTTTGAAGTTCCTCCAAGCAATTTTCCCTTTAAATTTTACTAATGTGCACCCGTGCAAAATACGGTCCCTTATTTTTTTTAAGCACTACATTTTGAACTTGTCTCCCTTTAAGTTTTAATACATTTGCTTTATTTATTGTATGCTTGAAATTAGAAATAATATCTACTCCTCTATACTTAACGAATGATCCAAATTTTAATACATTTGATTTAGAAATCATATCTACTCATCTATACTTAAAGAATGATCAAAGTTTTAATATATTTGATTTGATTCACCGTTCACAACACAGTAAAAATACTGTAGCATGAATAGTAAATTCAAGTACGGAGGAGCAAATTTGATTTACTATTTATACTACAGCAAATTTGATTCACTGTTTATGCTATAGTAAATTACTGTAGCATAAACAGTAAATTCGAGTGGTGTAACATAAACTGTAACTTGGAGTGCTGGGGACCAAATTTGATTTACTCTTCATGTTACACTATTGCAGCATTATTGTAGCATGAACGACGACTCTTTGGATTCTCTTTTAAGTATAAAGGAGTAGATTTTAAACTTTAGGTTTTGTTTAGAATCTTTGACCAATTGCAGATATTTGAGCAAAAGAGAGTTTGAATGAGCTGTCATCTAACCATTCTTAGGTGCCTATATACATCTCTATTCTAAAGAACAAATTTTGTGATTGTTTTATTAATAGTCATATTTAGTGATTTTTTATTGAAATAATTAGATGAGAGGCCAAACAAAGTGTAGATAAATGTGCTTTTATATAATTTGTGCTAAGCTTTAAATCTTTAATTTTTTTGAAATGATCAAATTTCTTTTAAATAAACATCACAATATTTTGGCCCGTGTTGTTTTGAGCACGCAATACTGACCAACTCCTAAGAAAGAAAAAGAGAAAATAAAGAAAACAATAAAAGGTTAAAAGCGTTTTGAGGATAGATGTATCATGTTGATTATCAAGATATAATTCTATATTTATTTCAATCATTTTTTTGATATATAAAAAACATTTTGAGCAACAATTTTCTCTAAACTAATCAATATCTCTTGAGAATGTCGAATTTACTTTTAAAATTCTCCAATAATAAATTATGCGATAATTTTTCAATAATATAATTAATAAGGGTGTGGATTTCATGATAAAAAATTGTTTGACTTAGCATGACTTTCATGCGTAATGCTTAATTCGCAATGTTTTCCCACGCTAAACACATGATTATGAATAATTACCTTCTTCATTTTGTTGCACACACATATATATAGAGCAATATGGAGGAACTTGTAGGCTGTCTAAAAATCACAATGGATAGTTGAGTCTCCATCGAACACTGATGATGGAAGTTACA